GAAAAACCCACAATGCACAAACTAGATTTATTGATGAAAGTGAGACAACAGTTTCGGAATCGTCCTCGATTCCATCTTCGGGTAAGGATAGTGAAGTTTAACATTCAATCCCAATCAGTATATATAGAATCAGGATTTCTGGTTTAGGATTTGAACTGCTCTTTCTATACTCATGTATGAGTAGGTAGGTAATGCCTATGGATGCTAGTTAGCTCCTAGTTGCACACTCATTTTAGTGGGTCATGTATCAGAGGTTAGAGTAACCGTCGTGCAAGTTCCTTGCAATGGCGGTGGGGGTTCAAATCCCTATTGGAGAGGTTATATGTGCATGATATCAATGCGGAATGACATTATTCCATCTTTCATTGAATACATCTTAGGAAATTGTGTGGTCTTAATTAAGAGGTAAATTAGTCTTAAATTGTTTTTAGATACTCACTTGGACACAGGTACTGTATGCTACACATTCCCTTATCAGGTAGATTTAAGCAAGTCATTGGAGTGTAACAATTTAATTTCATGTATAGGCTAGAGTCAGTCTGCACATGCACTTGTTGCTTTGTTGAAGGAGGAGGAAGACAAGACGGTAGCAAACACTTTGCACTGCCTTGAAACTTATTTTCATCTGCCATCATTTTTATTTCTTGTCATGATATTTTTGTATTTCCATATATGTAACTTTCACAACACAATTTCACAATTTCATGAATTTGGCTTGTTAGAAAGTTTGTCTTAGTCCCTAAATTTATATGCATTCGTTCAGCGCAGCCCTTCATTTTCACAGTCCAATTAAGCTTTCCCTGCTTTTGATAGTGAAATACAGGTTAGGTTTCATGGTTACTAAATTATTCTGAAAATTAGAGAACTGTATCAACAGCAGAAGTAAATATGTGTAAATTTAGACCATTTTGTTTATATTGCTTCATAACAGTAACTGCTTGATATTCATTACTTCTTATCAAAATAATGTGTTTTATACTGTTTAAATTTGTCAAACAGATCACGCTCTGGAGATCGTCGTGACAACTACAAACATTCATCAAGGTGTTCTGGCTCCCCGCGTTACCGTGAGGACCGCTATCGTGATGATAAATACTCTTCATCACGTCGTAGATATTCACGTTCCCCATCTTACTCTAGAAACAGAAGGAGTAACAGGTGTGCGATCTGAGTCAGGTGGTATAGATAAGTTGAAGTACTCTTCAAGTATTGCTGGTACATTTCATATGTTTGTATGGTTATTTTCAGTCAGTATATTAACTGTGCTGTTTAGCTATTTATTAGTGGATCAAGCTTTAGCTCTTGGAAAGGAGAGGTTCCAGACACACTGCAGCACTTCTGGATTTGTTCTGAGCCTCAGTCAACTCGCAACACCAAAGCTCCCTCTCCTTGGCTTTCACTTAGGTAATTAGGGTCAACGCAAGGTTTTTGATTTGTCTAAATCTTAGGTCCCGATCAAGGTCTCCGATGTCTAATCGCCGCCGCCATCATGGAAGCAGAGAGGACCCACCACCAAGTAGTTGCCTTGGGATCTTTGGACTTAGTCTCTACACAACAGAGAGGAAGGCAAGTAATTTGACTCGGCCTATTCATGCTTGGTTGATGTCATATCATGGCATGAACTAATCTCCTTGTAGCTAGGATAATGGATCTTGATCCTTGCCATAAGCCAGACAATGGCCCTGATGTGGAATGTGCATGCTAAAGAACCAACTCCAAATTTTACCTAAAATTGTACTTACTGTGAATTAGTTGGTGTTTTATGTGTTTTGTATATAAAGAATATAGCTGTCAGTTGATTTTGTATTTTTAGATATGAATAGTAGATTTGCATATTGTAATGAAGAGTTTGATTCTATTTACATTATTATTTTATTGCAGAATACAGATTAATTTATGTTGAGGTCTTCTTAATTACTCTCCATTGCAGCTCCATCACCTCTTCAGCAAATATGGTCCTATCAACAAAGTTCAAGTTGTGCTAGATGCTAAAGTGAGTATTGTTTCCAATTTGATGAATTACTTCTGACCTGAAGGTCTATGATGCATTTTGAAAGACGGGCACAAATGTGTTCCTGGCAGCCTTCTCTTTGGCAAGGCTAGATAAATCTCGATGCTGGTTGATGGAGTACTGTTGCTGTCTTTAGACGTATTTGAGCAATCCCAAGCTTTATTGGTAATCAAGTTAGAAGTCACTCAAAGAGTATTTTTCTCTTTAAAAAAGGACACTTTAGGCCTTCTCATATATACAATAATGTGAGAAAAGTTGGGAAATGAAAAGAGGTTTTTAGTGGTTTGTGATACACCTTTATGCACCATTATCAATATGGAGTATTGTGTATACTGATATGAATACTTTTAGAAAAGCAGTATAAAGTTAATATACTGTGTAGGAATGTTTTTATGCTGAAATATTTTGATTTAGAAATATGGAAATACTGAAATTTACATTTTTCTGATTCTGTTGTAATAGTAGTTTTTTTGAGTAGTAGATTTCATG